AATAATTATCAATGGACATGTTTGAAGGTTTTGATGAATTTGAACATTGAGGAAAGTGCGCCTTCATTCAGCATTCAGGCATGGTGATAGCATTTTATGTGTGGTTTTAAATATTAATAAAGTAGACCAAATATATATATATATATATATATCTATATATATATATATATATATATATTATATATTATATTGTATATATATCATAGTGTCAATTTCTGCTATAGCAGTAATGCGAGAACTTTCTTTTAAATTATAATTTAAAAAAAACACTGGTCTGGTATAGATAAACTCATTTCTTTGCTATAGAAAAAGGCAGATCCTCCATCCATACTGTTTCTCCTTGGGCCAGTTAAGAATCAATAAAAACTAATCAATCCTGGTCGGGCTAATTCAAAAGCTTTATATTTTTGGAAATCGGTTCAGCATTTATTGACAAAACATCGACAAAAGCTCAAAAAATGGCTCACAAACATCTTATCCAAAACTTGTTCTCAAACGATTCAGATTGACTTGTGAGGTATATAGATAATGCAATATATCAGAATGTACTATCGAGTGAAACTTCTTATGCGACTTTAAACAAGGTTGCTTTAAATGTTCAATGCAAAGTGAGCTAATGTTTGAATAACGATTGTTTAGAATGCCTAGATTAGGAATGTTGAATTTTGTTTTAGATTTTTTTAGAATGTAAAATGTTTTTTCAAATGTTATGGATTATTCCATAATTTGTAGAATATTTATTAGAACATTGTAGACTGTTTGAAAGTGTTGCATAGTCTTTGAAGGTCTTGCAGACTGCACATAAGCATTGCAATCTCATTTTCACATTACGAAGTTTTCTCTTCTTTTGCAGAGTATCACTTCTATTATTTTCATTGTTTTTTGTGGGAAGATGAAGGATTTCCTTCGCTCCTCTCAAAAAATAAAAAACATAAAGCTTTAAAATTGAGTTTTGTCAGTTCTTCAAAAATGTCATAAATACGGGTGGAAAAGAAATAATTTATGATGATTTTTTTATACAAAATCTGACCTCAATCTTGAAACATTTGTCAAGATTGGGTCAGAAAAATATACGATACACGACAACATTGGCAGGTAAATTGTATTCGTGAGAATGATTTTTATACGTAGACTCTTCTATGGATTTTTAGATATTTTTAGATATCTATATATTTTACACATTTCTAGACAATTTCAAAAATATGTAGCCATTTGTAGATATTTTTTTTAAATTTTTGTACATTTTAACCCTTGCCAGTAGGCGACATTACATTTTTTTTATGTATATCTAGACATTTTGTACATATTAAAATTTTTTAAGTTACATTTAAACATCACTAACATTAAAATTAATACTTGGCAAAAAGAGTTGAAAAAATATTTTAAATTACCATTTGATTTACTGATTTTTTATATATATATATATATATATATATATATATATATTCAGGCTTTCCATAACTACAGACTTGGCAGGGTTACTTCAACAATCTTCAGAAATGAATCAGTACTAGAAGCTAATTCAGGCCGAAGAAATCCCTTCACTCAGAAAGGAATAAATTAAATGAAAAGTATAGGGAACTAGAATTGTGTATCAAGTTCCTATACAGGAATATAATTTATAAACGCATGAATTAAGATATTTTGACATTTATGGGCCAATTCTCGGATAACACATCTAAGTTTGTTTTGTAGACTCCTGCTTTAACATATCATGTCTTAAATAAGCATATGTTCAGGATTATGTATTCTTGGACCACGTCGTGTAGGAGGCACTCTTTTTCGATTGAATTGAATGGGTCCTATTCAGTTCCTTTTCTTTTCATGATCGTTCTCAGTGAAGTCTTTTATGGACTTATTCTTTTGTTATCTTGTCAGTCCACTTTATTTTCTCCATTCACCTGTCTCCTGCGCACCACATTTTAAAACTCTCCAAATAGTTCTTGTCGGCTTTTCTTAGAGTTCATGTCCCTGATCCGTAAAGAGCTATGCTCTAGACATAACATTTTATTTATCAATATCATCCACAAGTCGAGTCTTGGTTGGTTCTCAGTAGTGTTCTCAACTTCGCAAACTCCACCTTGGCGCTTGCGATCTTTGTCCTGATGTTTCTCGTGCTGTATTCGTTTCTGGTCAGAATGCTTCCTAAATATTTGAAATGATCAACATCTTCCAATTTTTGATTTTCTACTGTTATCTTTAGAGTATCATCTCGTTTTGATACTCTTATCACTTCCAATTTGTTGATGCTGATTTCCGTTCCTTATCTTCTACCCATTTCGACGATTCTGTCCATCATGTTCTGCAGCTCGGTTTGGTTTTTTGATATTACCACTAGATCAATCATTTTGCCATATAAAATAAAATATGTCACCAGGAATAGCTGTTATACCTACCATAATTCCATGAACCGCATAAGTTAAAAAATATTTTTTAAACATCAGTTTATTTACATAGATACCGCACCTGTCACAAGAAGTGTGAGCATACGTGAATTGGGCCGCTTGTTGAGAAAATACCCGGGACTATTCCTAAATGAGTGGACTTTGCGACTTATTGCATTTTTCGTCTATGACAAGGTATATATATATATATATATATATATATATAATAAATAAATGGTAGTCTTCATCCATGCTTTCTGATCCTGCACTTCGGTTTTCAGTACCCTGTATTTTCTCTTTACCAATCCCTTCAGCCCTTCTATTTTACCATCCACGACGTCGTGCAGGAGGCACTCTTTAGAACAGAACGGGTCCAATCCAGTTTCCTTCTTTTTTCAGGATTCTTGAAAAGGCCGATCTTGAAATGTCAAGAGAACATAAAAATCTCCTCAGGCAGTTACTAATAATGATTTTTTCCATATCTTCACAGGCTGCATCAGTACGGGCAAGCGCTTTGAAAGCCTTGCTCCCGTTATATGAGAACTATAAATTAGCAAGCAAATTAACATTGTTCACTCAAAAATATCAACAAAGACTTGTTAGATTATCTTGGGACAAGAGCCGATGCAATCAAGAGATTGCAATAAAGCTTGTCACGGCTATGTTCAGGTGAGAGTTGAGAATAAAAATGTTCACTTAATAGACATATGCATGAAACTTTTGATGTTGATAACCCAGTAAACACCCAACGGTAGTAGCAATCTTATATTACAGCTGTTCAAAAAATAATAGTATATTGCCAGCGATAAAGTAAAAAAATACAAGCAATGAATGAATGTATGTTAATTCTAATTGAAGAGTGAAGTTGCGAAAACAATATTTGTTTAGGCGTTGTTTGACATAATCCACTCTCTCAACAAATATTATAGAAGTTATTAATCAGCAATTTATTAATCTTCATTTCTCTAATGAAGGTTCATTTCTAAATGATAATTACAATGACAAACCGATCATGTCATATTTGAAGTATGACTTTAAATACATTATTGTTTTTAAATATTATAAATATTTTAATCTATATATATATAAATCTCGTGTCACGATGTTGGTTCGCGATGGACGCCCAAACTACTAGACCGATTTTAAATTTTAATGGCTCATCGTGTGCATATATATCCAACTTAGGTTATAGGAAATTTTGAAAAGTAAATTTGAAATATAAATATATAATTTTTATAAATTTCTAAAAATTTTGACAGAAAATGACCAAAAAAAAAACAAAACACTAAAATGACAAATGTCAAAATTAAAGGAAATTTGGATATATAATTTTATGAAAAAAAATTTGACATTTCAAAAAATAAAATTCAAAAACATGTACATATATAGAAATATCCAACATTTATATCAAAATTTGATGAAATGCTACATACAAAATCACTGATTATAGTTTTAAATCTAATTAAAAATCAATGCTTAAAATTTAAATAAATGTTGACATGAAAAAAAAATAAATGTCATCTGTCAATATTTATGAAAATAATTATATAAATAGATTTATGATTTAGATTTAATTGATTAGCTTACCAAATTATTTCGGAAACCAAAACTTCATTAAAACCTTATAGATTAGAGATCACAATAAAAAAGCGGCACTTGAATTTAAAAATAATCATAACCAAAATTTTGACATGTCACAAAAAAAGAATGTTTAACGAGTTACTTCAATAAGACGCAAATAAATTAATTATTACAAGTTATGTTACAGAAAATATTGCCTAACAAATTATAGATACAAAACAATATTGTAAAATAAATATTTTCAAAAAATTTTGACAGAAAATGGCCAAAAAAAAACAAAACACTAAAATGACAAATGTCATAATTTATGGAAAATTTGAGAAAAAAAGATTTATGATTTTTGAAAAACAAAAATTGACAGTTCAGAAAATATAATTCAAAAACATGTACATATATAGATATATCCAACACTAGCTGACCCGGCAAACGCTGTTTTGCCATCAAAAATATTTATATCCAAATTAGATGAAATGCTATATTCAAAATTACAATTTATAGTTTTAAATCTAATTAAAAGTCAATGTTTATAAATTTGAATAAATGTTGACATGAAAATCGTCAAATGTCATTTGTCAAAATTTATGAAAATAATTATATAAATAGATTTACAATTTATATTTATTTGATTAGCTTACCAAATTATTTCGGATACCAAAACTTCATCAAAACCTTAGATCATCAGAGATCACAATAAAAAAGCGACATATTGAATTTAAAATTAATCATAAACAAAAATTTGATATTTCACAAAAAAATGTTTAACGACTTCAATAAGAAACAAATAAATTAATTATTCCAAGTTATATTGCCGAACAAATTATAGATACAACACAATATTGTAAAATAAATATCATATATTAATTTTCGACCAAAAAGGAAATATTTTGACATTTACAAATATACTGCATATTGAATATATGAAATTGACATTCACTATTTTTCAATTAAATGAAAATGTAAAAAATCAAATATTTATATAAAAAATTGTATATTCAGATGAAGATACTGATTTGTTAATTTAGACTGAAACCTGATTTATTCATTAATTTTAAAAAAAAATGGCATAAACAAAATTAAAATAAACAAAACACCTGCATCATGCGTTGGAATTAATTAACGAAGTGTAAAGAAATTTGTGTAATTAAAATAAAATATCATTATTATATGAGTTGAGATAAATTTTGATTGCCATCGCAAACGTTAATCATACAGAAAATTGTAACCTCTTAAATGGAATAGTACAATCTGAAGGTATCATTGCAATCTGACAAAAATAAACTAGACAAACTAAATACTATATCATATTATATTAAATTTCGATCCAAAAGAAAATATTTTGACAGTTATAATTAATTTGAAATGAAATGCAAATGTCAAAAATCAGATCTTTATGTAAAAAAATATTTATTTCCACAATATTCCCGTGTTGAATTTGCACTTTTTTATGAATTTAGCAAGCATATAATATATTCATTGATCACTTAAAATAATTATTAATTTATAATAAATAAATATTGACGTATTTGACATGACAAAAGTATAATAAACAAAACGTTATGATGCGAGTGAATTAATTTTTGAAGTATGAAATGTCAAATAATTTTGAAAATTATAACAAGTTTTTAACTATTTGTCAGAAAGAATATATTTTATTACAAATTCATACCCATATCAAGCACCAAAGTAATAAATACTATTTATAAAATGGCATATTATTTATAGACAATATGATTTTAATGCATATTTTAATTATATGTTTTATATTAATATCAAATAAATATATTTATGTTTCACTTGATTTTAATGAAAATAATTCAATGCCAAAATAAAAAGTATACATCTAAAATTATAGTCTAAATATTACAATTTTGATAAATAATCATCCATTATTGTACAGTACAGTAAAAGTACAAAAATTGATAAAAAATTAATAAAAGTGCCAAAAATCAAACATTTTATAGATTTGGACTCGGATTTCTCAGAACTTTATCCATGTTAGTTTCAGGGATAGTATGAATATCAATTTGCAGTCGAAAATTTATATGATAAGTGATTAAAACATTATAGATCACAATAAAAAAGCGACATATTGAATTTAACATTAATCATAAACAAAATTCTGACAGTTCAAAAAAAAAAGAATTTTTAACGACTTCAATAAGATACAAATAAATTAATTAATCCAAGTTATGTTATAGGCAATATTGGCAATCAAATTATAGATATAAATTATATCATATTATATTAAATTTCGAACCAAAAAGGAAATATTTTGGCATTTAAAAATTTAGTGCATATTGGATATTTGAAATTGACATTCAATATTTTTAAATTAAATGCAAAAGTAAAAAATCTGATATTTATATAAAAATTATATATTTAGATAATGGTACTGCGATGATTCAGACTAAAATCTAATTTATTCATTGATTAAAAATATTTCACTATTTGACATAAATAAAATTAAAATAAACAAAGCACTATGATGCGTTCGAATTAATTATCAAAATGTAAAGAAATTCGTGTAATAAAAATGTAACATTATTATTAATATATCATGTATATTATAAGAACTTTTGCAATGCGGAAAAATATTTTTGATGGCAAAACAGCGTTTGCCGGGTCAGCTAGTGCTATTATAAATATATAATTTATAATTTTTTATTATATAAATGTGTATATATATAAAGGTTGACGCTATGGGTTGAAGCCCCTTTCTGGGGTATTGCAATGACTGCCGCTTATTATATTTTAGCATTTCCCCATTACGAAAGGTGTACTTCAACTTCTTAACCCGACTTCTACGAATGCCCTGTAATTACCTGTTAAGACTGATATAGCTAATTATCCATTTTTGTCCATTCAGGTCCTATCCGTACTTATTCACTAGGAAAGACTTGAACACGGTTTCAAGTTTGATGTTCTCTCCAAATCGAAAGGTTGCAGTGACAGCAGGCACATTTTTTCATCATGTCTGTTTAAGATTGGATGAAGATTCAAATGGGGCCGGGTTTGGGGTTCGATGGTTCAGATATGTTTCAACTTTCATCAGTGAATTGAAAGTAAGTAAAATATGTATATATGATAGTCATGTGGATGTCGTATAAATAATTTTTTTGAATCTTTATTCTTTATTTTGATTATTTTTCAGGGTTTAAATTTTATTTCATATCTAGTGGATGCCCTAGTTGGAAACATTGAGATAATGAAAGATTGGAATTCGATGATACATATTTTAACTCAAGAAAATGATGATCCTTTGACCCCAATCCCCCAACCTCAAGAAATTTTAATTGAAATTATGTTCTGTGTGCAAGTCTTTCAAGTACTGGTGAATATCCAGGGGAGAGAGCAACTGATAATATGGTAATATTGCATTGCAATGATGCATATATAAAACTGAGGTAACTTGACCTATTTTAATGTACTGGCGGGGGGTACTTACGGAAGCGACAAGAATAAGCATTTTCCAGAAATGATCTCAAGTTACAATATTCGCAACGAATCCGAATATGGTCGATAATTACAAGTACAGGACTCTACTTAATTGATATGCAGCTGCTCTCCTGGTCAATTAAATAAACAAAACGCTCTTGGTCTCCAGACAATTTGATTTTTTTTTCATTTTTGGACTGTGTATGAACTCATGACCAATGGAATAGTTTTGTGGGAATCAGTTTGTTGCTTTTAGTACTACACATATCTGTTTCCTTGATTTGATATTATAGCATGATAGTCGTCAAACGTTTAAGGCAATAATTTATAAGTCCAATTAGAAGTACAACATTAACTAAATCTAAACCGATCAAGTAAAAGTACCCTGCCCTGGTTTTAATGTCAGTACATGCAAATGGGTAAAACTATCCAGTTGTTTCTTCTTCTAGTGTGTTGATTATATGTTTAAACATTATTTTTTATATCTAAATTTCATTAGTTTTCATATTTACAGGTCCCAAGTTTAAAACAAAGAAAACAAATGAAGGAAGAAAAATTAAATATCACAAAACATCTAATGCCTGTGATAGCAATTCTGTTGGCTCGCTTCAAAACCAATGTGAATTGTATTATTCATTTGATCAGAATACCTCAATATTTTGACTTCGAAAATACAAGCAAGATGGAAGATCTGGTTAGTATTTTAATTTTTGTACCTATGAATACCTATAAGGATTACTTAGCAAACCTGGTCTTTGTCTTTGTGCTTGAATTGCCACCAACAGGAGTATATATTTTAACCAGAAATTTTAATTGCATATGGGAATGTTCATGCATCTTGCATTTGTAGTTTTTCTAACTTTTTAATATATACTTACTAGTTTTAATCTAGTGTTTTATGTTTACAGCATTTAAGGAATTTATTGGGCGCTCTGCAAGTCATCGCCCAGGATTCTGCAGACACAATAGTGTTGGACAACTGCAGCAAGACTTTGCATTGCCTTTATAAAAGGGCAAGAAGCATTGTTGCAGATTGCGATGCCGCCATATCGACCATTGTCGACGAATGCGCATTTGTATATATGGAGCCATATCTTGTATGGCTAAGTATTGTGAATGGGGTACGAATTACATTTTTGTTATGTGTAGAAAGTTGTCAAACAATTCATCTCTTGATCAGAAATAATTTTTCTTTCTAGCAAATGGATCCAAAATATGCTAAGAAAGAGGATTTTCCTCGGATTGTAAATTCTCTGAAGAAAATATACATTTTCCACTATTTACATAACATAAATTATTTAGATATATGGGATGATTTTTTAGAAGAATTTAAAGTGTTTAAGAATGGTGTCATTGAAATCTTCCTATCGAGGTATGTCAATTAGATCAAAGATTAAACATAACTAATTTAACTAATTCATACTCCTATCAAAATATATTTTAGGGATCGATATACTGCCTACTTTCCTACGGCACATATTTATCTTGGGAATTGATGGAAGTAAAAGATATGGATCTAAATAATATGGTACTCAATGCTATGGCTTGTATGAAACGAGCCGATATATTAGAGTTAAAATTGAAAAATTATATTGAAATCTGCAAGGACATCGTAAAAAATGTCACTCATGATGATCTGCAACAAGCTGTAAGTTGATTTGAAAAAATCAAAAATTTAAAGTAATACTAATTGTAAGGCAAATTTCAATATTGTTTTAAACTATACATGAACTACTTGTCTACCTGTCCACCTGTCTCCAACTTCTTCAACCTTCTACTTGTCAAGAGTTTTACCTTGCTGCCTGTTTACTGTCCAACCTGTTAACCTGTTAACCTGTTAACCTGTTCACAACTCTTCAGTTCACACGTCTACTTGTCCATCTGATTGCCTGTCTATGTATTCACCTGCTCACCTACAAGTCTACTTGAAAACCAATTTACCTCTATCAGTCTGTTCATCAATGGGAATCGAATGCTTTTTGAGTAATTCAAATCGAATAATCGGTGCTCCGGGGTTGTCCACCAAAAATAGTATCCTTATTAAATTTTATTATCAATAAGGTACATAAATAGTAGATTGGGCTATGATTTTTATTTTGTTCGTAATTTTAACCATTTCTAGTAAAAATATTGATTGAAGTAACGCTCACTATGTCCAATCCAAGCCTAATCAAAAATGTATGGGAAAGCGTCATGTTAGGTTTGGACGACATGGCAAGCACTCGCGATTTTTGAACAATTACAACCTATTTTGGTTTTATCGAAGTTGCTGAAATATTTTTTGTACTTTTAATAAATTAATTTCTAACATTTTAGGCCTTGATTGCAATATGTTCTTTAGCCGCGAATTTCAACCGAGAACTGGCCGACCATCAAAACCCAATAATACACGACTTAGTTTTAAAACTCAGCTCGGATGACATGAAGCTAATAAAAAAGTATGCAGAAGAGTATGTTTTCACAAAACATTGGACAGGTAATAATTACAATAAAATTAATTCAAATATTCCTTATTGAAGTGGAACTTCTAATGCAAGTGCCAACAAAAAATGTTGAATAGAAAGATACACAGAGCGAAAATTGTCTGAAGATGGTATATATTATATGAAAATTTGTAAATTGTCAGAAAATCCACATCATTTTCAGACAATTTACAAAATTTTCATATAATCAGCTGAAGATTTTGTAAAATGTCTGAAGATTTGTAATATATTTATTTACTGGGAAAGTTTTTGAACATATTTTATTAGTTGGTTGTTTGATATCTGTTGTGATGCATGTTGATACACTTTTAAGCTTCAATTATAAATTGAGATGCCAAATAGAATTTTTCACTCAAAGATGCATCTAACACAACTTAACAATCACATTTATGTTTAGATTTTTGTTTATATGCATAACACAGTTTGTGTAAAAGAAAAAAGTAATATGACTTTACTAGAAGACTTTTGTAATTATGTTATTGTTATTATCTTATTGTAGGAAGACACGAAGAACATGAGATTCAAATAAGCAAACGTCGTGAAGTGTTGGAGCGTTTTTGTAAACTTGTTCAATTTAATATTATACCAGCTAATAAAGCATACTTTGTTTTAAAGCATTGTGTGAAGGTAAGGTTATAACAGGTGTACATTGCATATTGAAACTTCTTCCTATTCCATTTTGTAATTTACTGACTAGCTAACATTCTAATAATTACCCATCGAAGTCTCCAAAATCTTTCTGAAAGAAAAGCTTAAAAATTCAAAAGAATACTATTAAGGTCCAAGAGATTAAAGATCTTGCCATGTAAAATATTCTATAGCTTTGCCATTCCCAAACCTGAAGGGCTACCTTAGAATCCATAATTTGCCCCTAAAAATACCTGCATTTGACCATGGATTTAGTAGCTTTATGAACAAAACAGTGGATGTATTACGAGGACCTAGGATAATTAGTTGAAACTAGCTATAATTTGTTAGAGGTATATATTTACATCAAATGACTGTGAAATTGTAGTAATGATAAATAATGGTCACAATAAGGGCTTTATTTCAAACTCTGTGAATTTATACATATATAACTATAAAATAAATATTTTCGCACTCACAATTTCTTAAGAATCGTTTCGGCGCATCGCGCACTGTTTTGCGTCCGAACGAACTCTATGCAATTGCAGGGTACTATTAGCGTTACGCGCGGGTGTACTGGCTCTGTTTTTTTCAATCTTCCAATGTGTTCCACTAAACTGATTTGAACAATATTTTCAGTACTCAAAGGAAAAACAATAGGCTTTCGAATAACGTTAATTAGAAAGTGGTCCAAATAAATGCACTACCCGAAATAATCAATTGAAAAATTATTTTGTCTTTTTAAGCTAATAGTAAACGATTTTTCGGAATCGATTGTTCTACATAATGTGGTCTGAGTCAATGTGAGTAGAATCACGTAAATTTTTTTTCGATATCTTTTATGGTTACGCCAAAAATTGAGTTTGAAAGAAGGGGCCACTTTGGCATATTTTCAATGATATCTCGGCCATGAGGTACAAAGTTGAAAAGTGGTATATCGGTTTTTATCAAATAGACCTATAAAATGGCGTATAAATTATTTAAATACCAGGGTGGGGCCGATTCTGTATGGCAATGCGCCCATACCCTTTCATAAAAATTCGGGAAACAAGTATCAATTTAAAATTTTTATTAAAACAATCATTAAAAATTAAACAATCGACAGGATAAGTGTAATGGAATAATATAAATATTTGCTCGTAATATATAGACTCTTTCAATCGTCGCATCTGTTTGATAAGTCGCATATTGTTTTATACGTTTTATTGAAGCAGAATTTAATATTTTAGAAATCATTTTGAATTTTTTTTAAATATTTTTCGGATTTGTATTGCTCGATCGGGATAGAAAATATGGTTTCTTATTTTGTAGAATCGGTGTGGAATAAATAAATAGTTTTTTGTAAAATCTGCTTTCCGAAATTATTAATCATATGTTATATATCTGCTTATATTTTTAACTTTGTCTTTTATATAGTTCTTTTATACAGACATATTAAATATAGGAAATACGAACACAATATTAGCTGCAGTTATAATTTAATTGCTATTATTAAATATCATTAAAGAAATTACTAGCGTTGTGAAAACAAGTTAGTCCAATAGTTCACTGGCGCTCCTACTATTACATCTGAGCGAGAAAGCTCCACTTGCACTTACACATATAAAGAAACTCTATTGACCTATATTCAAAATCGTGGAAAGCGCCTTCAACTAGATGAAAAAAAGTTATAAAAGGCCCAAATGCAATTTGGTACGGTGAGTTGTATAAAATTTGTTGAGTTGAGAAGTTCGGTTACTTGAGTGGAAGCAAAATATATAATGGATATCATACAAGGTATTTATTTATTTAGATATATATATATATATATATATATATATATATATATATACTAGCTGACCCGGCAAACGCTGTTTTGCCATCAAAAATATTTTTCCGCATTGCAAAAGTTCTTATAATATACATGATATATTAATAATAATGTTACATTTTTATTACACGAATTTCTTTACATTTTGATAATTAATTCGAACGCATCATAGTGCTTTGTTTATTTTAATTTTATTTATGTCAAATAGTGAAATATTTTTAATCAATGAATAAATTAGATTTTAGTCTGAATCATCGCAGTACCATTATCTAAATATATAATTTTTATATAAATATCAGATTTTTTACTTTTGCATTTAATTTAAAAATATTGAATGTCAATTTCAAATATCCAATATGCACTAAATTTTTAAATGCCAAAATATTTCCTTTTTGGTTCGAAATTTAATATAATATGATAAAATTTATATCTATAATTTGATTGCCAATATTACCTATAACATAACTTGGAATAATTAATTTATTTGTATCTTATTGAAGTCGTTAAAAATTCATTTTTTTTTTTTTGAACTGTCAGAATTTTGTTTATGATTAATGTTAAATTCAATATGTCGCTTTTTTATTGTGATCTATAATGTTTTAATCACTTATCATATAAATTTTCGACTGCAAATTGATATTCATACTATCCCTGAAACTAACATGGATAAAGTTCTGAGAAATCCGAGTCCAAATCTATAAAATGTTTGATTTTTGGCACTTTTATTAATTTTTTATCAATTTTTGTACTTTTACTGTACTGTACAATAATGGATGATTATTTATCAAAATTGTAATATTTAGACTATAATTTTAGATGTATACTTTTTATTTTGGCATTGAATTATTTTCATTAAAATCAAGTGAAACATAAATATATTTATTTGATATTTATATAAAACATATAATTAAAATATGCATTAAAATCATATTGTCTATAAATAATATGCCATTTTATAAATAGTATTTATTACTTTGGTGCTTGATATGGGTATGAATTTGTAATAAAATATATTCTTTCTGACAAATAGTTAAAAACTTGTTATAATTTTCAAAATTATTTGACATTTCATACTTCAAAAATTAATTCACTCGCATCATAGCGTTTTGTTTATTATACTTTTGTCATGTCAAATACGTCAATATTTATTTATTATAAATTAATAATTATTTTAAGTGATCAATGAATATATTATATGCTTGCTAAATTCATAAAAAAGTGCAAATTCAACACGGGAATATTGTGGAAATAAATATTTTTTTACATAAAGATCTGATTTTTGACATTTGCATTTCATTTCAAATTAATTATAACTGTCAAAATATTTTCTTTTGGATCGAAATTTAATATAATATGATATAGTATTTAGTTTGTCTAGTTTATTTTTGTCAGATTGCAATGATACCTTCAGATTGTACTATTCCATTTAAGAGGTTACAATTTTCTGTATGATTAACGTTTGCGATGGCAATCAAAATTTATCTCAACTCATATAATAATGATATTTTATTTTAATTACACAAATTTCTTTACACTTCGATAATTAATTCCAACGCATGATGCAGGTGTTTTGTTTATTTTAATTTTGTTTATGCCAATTTTTTTTAAAATTAATGAATAAATCAGGTTTCAGTCTAAATTAACAAATCAGTATCTTCATCTGAATATACAATTTTTTATATAAATATTTGATTTTTTACATTTTCATTTAATTGAAAAATAGTGAATGTCAATTTCATATATTCAATATGCAGTATATTTGTAAATGTCAAAATATTTCCTTTTTGGTCGAAAATTAATCTATGATATTTATTTTACAATATTGTGCTGTATCTATAATTTCTTCGGCAATATAACTTGGAATAATTAATTTATTTGTTTCTTATTGAAGTCGTTAAACATTTTTTTTGTGAAATGTCAAATTTTTGTTTATGATTAATTTTAAATTCAATATGTCGCTTTTTTATTGTGATCTCTGATCTATAAGGTTTTGATGAAGTTTTGGTATCCGAAATAATTTGGTAAGCTAATCAAATAAATATAAATTGTAAATCTATTTATATAATTATTTTCATAAATTTTGACAAATGACATTTGACGATTTTCATGTCAACATTTATTCAAATTTATAAACATTGACTTTTAATTAGATTTAAAACTATAAATTGTAATTTTGAATATAGCATTTCATCTAATTTGGATATAAATGTTGGATATATCTATATATGTACATGTTTTTGAATTATATTTTCTGAACTGTCAATTTTTGTTTTTCAAAAATCATAAATCTTTTTTTCTCAAATTTTCCATAAATTATGACATTTGTCATTTTAGTGTTTTGTTTTTTTTGGCCATTTTCTGTCAAAATTTTTTGAAAATATTTATTTTACAATATTGTTTTGTATCTATAATTTGTTAGGCAATATTTTCTGTAACATAACTTGTAATAATTAATTTATTTGCGTCTTATTGAAGTAACTCGTTAAACATTCTTTTTTGTGACATGTCAAAATTTTGGTTATGATTATTTTTAAATTCAAGTGCCGCTTTTTTATTGTGATCTCTAATCTATAAGGTTTTAATGAAGTTTTGGTTTCCGAAATAATTTGGTAAGCTAATCAATTAAATCTAAATCATAAATCTATTTATATAATTATTTTCATAAATTTTGACAGATGACATTTATTTTTTTTTCATGTCAACATTTATTTAAATTTTTAAGCATTGATTTTTAATTAGATTTAAAACTATAATCAGTGATTTTGTATGTAGCATTTCATCAAATTTTGATATAAATGTTGGATATTTCTATATATGTACATGTTTTTGAATTTTATTTTTTGAAATGTCAATTTTTTTTCAAAAATTATATATCCAAATTTCCTTTAATTTTGACATTTGTCATTTTAGTGTTTTGTTTTTTTTTTGGTCATTTTCTGTCAAAATTTTTAGAAATTTATAAAAATTATATATTTATATTTCAAATTTACTTTTCAAAATTTCCTATAACCTAAGTTGGATATATATGCACACGATGAGCCATTAAAATTTAAAATCGGTCTAGTAGTTTGGGCGTCCATCGCGAACCAACATCGTGACACGAGATTTATATATATATATATATATATATATATATATATATACTAGCTGACCCGGCAAACGCTGTTTTGCCATCAAAAATATTTTTCCGCATTGCAAAGGTTCTTATAATATACATGATATATTAATAATAATGTTACATTTTTATTACACGAATTTCTTTACATTTTGATAATTAATTCGAACGCATCATAGTGCTTTGTTTATTTTAATTTTATTTATGTCAAATAGTGAAATATTTTTAATCAATGAATAAATTAGATTTTAGTCTGAATCATCGCAGTACCATTATCTAAATATATAATTTTTATATAAATATCAGATTTTTTACTTTTGCATTTAATTTAAAAATATTGAATGTCAATTTCAAATATCCAATATGCACTAAATTTTTAAATGCCAAAATATTTCCTTTTTGGTTCGAAATTTAATATAATATGATAAAATTTATATCTATAATTTGATTGCCAATATTACCTATAACATAACTTGGAATAATTAATTTATTTGTATCTTATTGAAGTCGTTAAAAATTCATTTTTTTTTTTTTGAACTGTCAGAATTTTGTTTATGATTAATGTTAAATTCAATATGTCGCTTTTTTATTGTGATCTATAATGTTTTAATCACTTATCATATAAATTTTCGACTGCAAATTGATATTCATACTATCCCTGAAACTAACATGGATAAAGTTCTGAGAAATCCGAGTCCAAATCTATAAAATGTTTGATTTTTGGCACTTTTATTAATTTTTTATCAATTTTTGTACTTTTACTGTACTGTACAATAATGGATGATTATTTATCAAAATTGTAATATTTAGACTATAATTTTAGATGTATACTTTTTATTTTGGCATTGAATTATTTTCATTAAAATCAAGTGAAACATAAATATATTTATTTGATATTTATATAAAACATATAATTAAAATATGCATTAAAATCATATTGTCTATAAATAATATGCCATTTTATAAATAGTATTTATTACTTTGGTGCTTGATATGGGTATGAATTTGTAATAAAATATATTCTTTCTGACAAATAGTTAAAAACTTGTTATAATTTTCAAAATTATTTGACATTTCATACTTCAAAAATTAATTCACTCGCATCATAGCGTTTTGTTTATTATACTTTTGTCATGTCAAATACGTCAATATTTATTTATTATAAATTAATAATTATTTTAAGTGATCAATGAATATATTATATGCTTGCTAAATTCATAAAAAGTGCAAATTCAACACGGGAATATTGTGGAAATAAATATTTTTTTACATAAAGATCTGATTTTTGACATTTGCATTTCATTTCAAATTAATTATAACTGTCAAAATATTTTCTTTTGGATCGAAATTTAATATAATATGATATAGTATTTAGTTTGTCTAGTTTATTTTTGTCAGATTGCAATGATACCTTCAGATTGTACTATTCCATTTAAGAGGTTACAATTTTCTGTATGATTAACGTTTGCGATGGCAATCAAAATTTATCTCAACTCATATAATAATGATATTTTATTTTAATTACACAAATTTCTTTACACTTCGATAATTAATTCCAACGCATGATGCAGGTGTTTTGTTTATTTTAATTTTGTTTATGCCAATTTTTTTTAAATTAATGAATAAATCAGGTTTCAGTCTAAATTAACAAATCAGTATCTTCATCTGAATATACAATTTTTTATATAAATATTTGATTTTTTACATTTTCATTTAATTGAAAAATAGTGAATGTCAATTTCATATATTCAATATGCAGTATATTTGTAAATGTCAAAATATTTCCTTTTGGTCGAAAATTAATCTATGATATTTATTTTACAATATTGTGCTGTATCTATAATTTCTTCGGCAATATAACTTGGAATAATTAATTTATTTGTTTCTTATTGAAGTCGTTAAACATTTTTTTTGTGAAATGTCAAATTTTTGTTTATGATTAATTTTAAATTCAATATGTCGCTTTTTTTATTGTGATCTCTGATCTATAAGGTTTTGATGAAGTTTTGGTATCCGAAATAATTTGGTAAGCTAATCAATAAATATAAATTGTAAATCTATTTATATAATTATTTTCATAAATTTTGACAAATGACATTTGACGATTTTCATGTCAACATTTATTCAAATTTATAAACATTGACTTTTAATTAGATTTAAACTATAAATTGTAATTTTGAATATAGCATTTCATCTAATTTGGATATAAATGTTGGATATATCTATATATGTACATGTTTTTGAATTATATTTCTGAACTGTCAATTTTTGTTTTTCAAAAATCATAAAATCTTTTTTCTCAAATTTTCCATAAATTATGACATTTGTCATTTTAGTGTTTTTGTTTTTTTTGGCCATTTTCTGTCAAAATTTTTTGAAAATATTTATTTTACAATATTGTTTTGTATCTATAATTTGTTAGGCAATATTTTCTGTAACATAACTTGTAATAATTAATTTATTTGCGTCTTATTGAAGTAACTCGTTAAACATTCTTTTTTGTGACATGTCAAATTTTGGTTATGATTATTTTTAAATTCAAGTGCCGCTTTTTTATTGTGATCTCTAATCTATAAGGTTTTAATGAAGTTTTGGTTTCCGAAATAATTTGGTAAGCTAATCAATTAAATCTAAATCATAAATCTATTTATATAATTATTTTCATAAATATTGACAGATGACATTTATTTTTTTTTCATGTCAACATTTATTTAAATTTTTAAGCATTGATTTTTAATTAGATTTAAAACTATAATCAGTGATTTTGTATGTAGCATTTCATCAAATTTTGATATAAATGTTGGATATTTCTATATATGTACATGTTTTTGAATTTTATTTTTTGAAATGTCAATTTTTTTTTCAAAAATTATATATCCAAATTTCCTTTAATTTTGACATTTGTCATTTTAGTGTTTTGTTTTTTTTTTGGTCATTTTCTGTCAAAATTTTTAGAAATTTATAAAAATTATATATTTATATTTCAAATTTACTTTTCAAAATTTCCTATAACCTAAGTTGGATATATATGCACACAATGAGCCATTAAAATTTAAAATCGGTCTAGTAGTTTGGGCGTCCATCGCGAACCAACATCGTGACACGAGATTTATATATATATAGATATATATATTGGATAGATTTGAATTTATTATAATATTATATATTATTACCGGGCCCGCCTGTAGTGTGCAAATTCAATTACAGATACAAAGGAATAAAAAAAAATTGCTAATGCTATTCAAGATATAGAAGCGTGAGTGAAATCCCGGGCATGAAATATTAATAGTTTTTACGGATTTGGATAAAAAATCAAATTGGGAGAAGAGAATTGTGTAAGTAATTTATTTAAATCCACTTTTTTTTCTTTAGGACATGTGCGTAATTAAAAAAATATATTTATAGTTGGATGATGCATCCAAGAGACCGACAAAATAGGAGAGGTTTTTTGGACCAAATCCTTTCTCAAATCATACCGTTGGGCTGTGTGCCGTGTCTGCCGCAGATTATGGTATATATTTCTTCTATATTATAGCATATACATACAATACTTATACATACATATATATATAAATATATTATAAAGGTGATATATTATTTCCAAATCGCGTAAAAACTTTACACTTTTAATTCGAAAATTTTTATAGAAGCGTAATTTGTTGTGATATAATTGATTTGATTTTTATAATAGAGTTTGTATTTGCTCAACGTCAAATTGGACCTTGTGCCTTGCCCTGCTCTACATATATACTTTTTATTAGATTTTTACTTTAATTCATCGAATGTCACTCGAAACTTTTCAAAAAGCAGGTCAAAGAAGAAATACTTAATTCATTTTCTATCTATCCTCGCAGAAATTTGAAAATTTTGTATAGCTCAGTAATATTATTTACAATTATACACAAAATCCATTATTACCATATTTTTATAACAGAGTATGACATGAATGCTGTCGGAATTATCTTCAAGAAAATTCAAATAAATTTGCTCCCGGACAACAGAATTATAGACCGAGGCAGGAATGAAAATAGCAGCGGCCAGGAAAAAGAAGGCCAAGACCGTGGCAGCAAAAACAATGGCAGCGGCCGAATAACTTCTACTACCGTGGCCGCGGTAATTATCGCGGCGATCGACGTGGCGGCGGTAATCATCGTCAGTGGCTACTATCGCGGCGGCAGAAGTTGATCGCGCCATATACATTTATTGATTTTTTTTATTTTTTGTTTATTTCTGCTAATCTTAACAATCAGATTACAATATAATCTATAAGTTAAAAATATATTTTTAAATAAGATATTTTGTTTAATAAATAAATTAAACAAGTTATTATTTTTATTTGTTTTATCCTTCTATGTGTTATATTATGATTAATTATTATTATATAATCAGACATTTCAACAAGAAAACTTGTACAAATTTCTATGTTCCTTTGCAATTATTAAGTTTGGCTACGGTCCTAGTTTTAATTCAGTGGAAGCTGAATACATACGAATAAAACCTACAACTGTCTACAACAAAATTAAAACTCAGCAAACAAAATAGCAGATTCAGTCGATGAAATAACAAAATTAAAATACTTTTTATGTTATAACACTAAATCAAAATACTTCATACAATCTTGGAACAGATATGTTTAGTTTTTCTGCAATATTTGCTATT